ATTGCTAACAAATACCTGAGACTCTATTCTTTGTCTACAGGTAAGGATAACAAGATATTGTAAATGGGAAAGTGGATGAATGGCTCATGGAATTGGAAATTGCAATGGAGAAGAAACTTGTATAGCTGGGAAAGACATCAAGAAGCAGATCTACAACAGCAGATCCAAAGCATCCCAATTACAAGAGGCAAACCAGACCAGTGGGAGTGGATCCATTCCAAGGACGGATGTTATTCAACAAGGACAACTTATCAAGAATTAACAAAAGAACAAAGTTTGGAACAACAGAGTGTCACAAAGTTTGGAACATGTTCATCCCAAATAATGTTGCAGTCTTTTCATGGCAATTGTTGCAGGACAAAATACCAATGAAACTTAACCTTTTAAAAAGAGGAATTATTCAGGACATTACAGACCGCAAGTGTGTTCTATGTGACAAGGAGTATGAGTATTCCAACCATTTGTTCATCCATTGTAATTTAGCATATAGCCTCTAGACAACATGCTTTAAATGGTGGGGATTAAGAACTATGCTAGATAAAGATTGCTGCAGGGTATTTGAACAACACCCAAATGTGTTAGTTATAACAGGGGAGAAGAAGTGATGGGACTACATCTAGTTCACATTAATTTGGACAATTTGGTTAGCACGAAATGAGAAAATATTTAGAGGGAAGGAAGCAGATAAAGGGAGGCTTCTAGAGCTGGTTCAACTACGTACATTTCACTGGATAAAGAACAAAAGGAGTGGATGCTTCTTTTCCTTGACCGATTGGATCCAAAACCCATCAAAATGCTTGAAGATTAATTGTGGAAGCAGGAAGGAGGTGAGGAGATTGAAGAATACCAGGTAGAAATTCACACTACCTACAGCGGATATTGATTCTCATGGGAGGAATGTATTTTGAGGGACTCTATGTAGAACAAACTTAAATTGTTCTAACAGGTTTGAGTACCCTTTGTACTCACAAAAATAAAAACATTTTCATTTTTCAAAAAAAAATTATTAATGTAGAGAGAGAACATAATAGCAATTATAGGTATATATATAGATAAAGTAAGGATCCATTTCTACACAAGTCTTACATACTATACTTATATGAAATTTTAATTCAACCATTCAGCTCTCCACTTTTAATAGTTAAAATTTATTTATATTTATTAAAAATAATTATCTTTTTTACCTAAAAAGTCATGATAAATTTTAACCATTAAAAGTGAGAAATGAATGGTTGACATTTTATGTAAATTTGATGTGCAAAACTTACGTATAAGTAAATTTTTCCTCATATAGATAAATATAATGATAAAAATATGTAAAGATAAACTAAGAGATGACATAGTGACAAAAATTAATGAAAGAGAAAGCATAAGTAAATGAAAGAATACTAAGAGAATAATGCTAATGAGTTTTATCATTAATATCTTGATTTAAAAGCTTCTAATATGGGCATTTAGAAGAGGTGAGACAAATTAAGATAAAAAAAGAGATATATAATAATAATAGTTATAGATACAAAGATAAAGAAACTAATGAGGATTTTGATTAACTATGCTATCATATTTATTTCAAAAGATTTTAATTGTTATAAAGGTCAAATATCTATTTATAATGATGAATTAATATATGCTTAAAATGACTTTTATATTTATTAATTAAAAATTAATTTTAATTAAAAATTAATATTATTATATTAATAATTATTAAAAACAAACAATGTAAACCAACTCGCCCTTAGCATAGTTTTAGAGCCTAATTTATAAACGATGAAAATAAAAAGATCAGAAAGCCACTGTACGTGTTTGTGCATGCGAACTAACGGTGCCTGTATAAATAGTAATTTTCTAGCTATTTGGTGAAGTTTCTGCAAAATCAACGGGGTTAACACTACTAGAATTACGACCATTTCGGTTAGATCATTTCGGTCAAGAAAATATCTTGACCAAAAAAACAATCATTTCAATCATAATACTTGACTGAATTAGAGGTTTGTCTGCAAAAATAAGAAAAACTAGTATGATTCGGTGACAATTCATTTCGGTCATGAAATTTAACCAAATTTAAAACGCAGGAAAAGGCATCAAAACCAATTTGGTTACTTTATTTGACCGAATTCAGGCTAAATCTTATTTGGTCAAATTAATTGACCGAATAAAATGCAAAAAAAATCTACAGCATATTTTAAGATTAAATATTGATGGAAAAGAAAAAATATCATATTTTGATCAAAGTTACTAACCGAAAAGAAGAGTTCGAACCGATTTGACATAGGAGAGATCACGGGTCTGATCTCCAATCTATTTCGGTCATGTCGCATGACCGAAATGGTGCTGCAAACAATTTCTTCCATGTGCAGTCCAATTTCGATGGGCAAAGATCGACTCTACTTTCATCACCATTCTTCATCAATCAATTATTCATCATCATTATCAAACAACAAATCCCACAAAAAAATAGAGAATCATTTTGATTTTTTCACAAAACAAAAAATTTTTTGGGTTCACACTGGGTTCCAATTGTTGGAACCTGAAACCCAGGCGTGCTGGGTTCTGGCCGTTATGGTCGTTGGGTTCCACCGTTGCGTTTGAACCCAACGTCATCACCATTCTTCATCTATCAGTTATTCTCCATCATCATCAAACAACAAATCCCACAAAAAATAGAAAATTTTTTTGATTTTTTCACAAAACAAAATATTTGTTGGGTTTGAACCCAACGGCCGTTGGGGTTCCAACCACTGGAACTTGGAACCCAGGCATGCTAAGTTTTAGCCACTGCGTTCCACCACTGTGTTTGAACCAAGCAGCTAGAACCTAGGCGTGCTGGGTTCAAGCCATCACGGCCATTGGGTTCCATTGTTGGGTTTGAGCCCAGCGATTGGAACCCAAGCATGCTGGATTCGAACCCAGCGGTTGCTAGATTTGAACCCAACAGTTGCTCGGTTCAAATGCAACGTTGGAACCCAACGTCTGCTGGGTTTGAAAGAAGAAAAAGGGTTGTAAAAGGAAAAGGCAATGGTAAAGAGAAAGAGGGGTTGGGGGATGAAGAAGGGGGCATTTAAGTAATTTTAAATTTTTAATGTACAAATTAATTAAAATGATTATTAAATTATGATTATAGTAATTAATTGATTGATTAATAAATTATAATTATATTCTTTTATTGATAAGTAAA